CTAACACAAAAACTCAACAAAAAACCTGATTTTAAAATGGGCAACAGACATGAATACACCTTTGTCAGGGGGTGACAAAGATGGCCGTTACTAATCACAAGGAAAATGCAACTCAAAATAGTAATGAGATACTCTTTCACTCCAGTAAAAAGTCACTATCAAATAGACTAAGACATATTCAAGTGTTGGCCAGGATGTACAGAAATAGGGAACCCTCACAGTCAGTAAAAATGTAAACTTGTACAGCTCTTATGGAAAATACTATGGAAGTTCCTCAAGAAATTAAAAAATAGGACGACCATATGATCCAGCAGTCCCACTACTGAGCAGAGAATAATCTGCTGAATCAATAGAATCAATCTGCTGAAGAAACATCTGTACTCCTGTATTTATTGTGGCACTATTTACAGCAGCTAAGAAATGGAAATAACCTAAGTGTCCATCAAATGATGAATGTATAAATAAAATGTGCTACATTTACATAACACTGAATACTAATCAGCATAAAAATCATTGCTACAACATGGATGGAACTGGAGATCAGTCTGTTAAATGAAATAAGCCAAGCGCGGACAGACAAGCACTTCATGATCTTACTCATATGCAGAATATTGAATGCAGAATGATGGTTACCAGAGGCTGAGAAGAGTAGGAACAGGTAGGGATGTGAAAATGTTGAGGAGTGGGTACTACTGCAGAAGAAACAAGTTTTGGTGTGATATTGCAAAGTAGGATGTCTACAGATAAGAATAATGTGCTGTACATTTTAAAATAACTAGAAGGACCTAACTTTTCACAATAAAGAAATGTTGGAGTCAGATGTTTACCCTGTAACATTATACAACATGAACATATATCAAAAATCATATGGTACTCCATTAATATGTATAATGTGATATACTTTCATATCAACTAAAAATAAATGTCTCCAATACATATTAATTTTTTAAAAAAAACCTGTAACTGTAAAAGCCATTTGCAGTTCCCAGGCTGTGTCAGTCAGCTTTCTGTTAATATAACAAATTACCTGAGATAACTTAAAAAGAGAGATTTACCTTTGCTCACAGTTTTGGAGGTGTCAGTCCTAGTGCTTTCGGGCCTATGGAGAGACACTACAGCATGGTAAGAGTGTGGCAGAGCAAAGTCGCTCACCTTATAGTGGCTGGGAAACAAGGGAAAGAGTGGGGTCCCACTAGCTCCTTTGAGGGCACATGCTTCATTACCTAAAATAGTGCTCTCTGCCCCTTCCCTTAAAGATTTTACCATTCCCTGAAGTTTTTATGCTGGGGAGCAAGAATTTACCACACCTTTGGGGGACAGGAGGCAGGCTGCTGGATTTGACTCATGAACTACAGTTAGCTGGCCTGATGGAGAGCTTCAAGTTTTTCAATTTTCATATAAATCAACAATCTAGCTAAATCATCCTATTAAAATACATTCTAAAGAGTTCAAGGTTAAAAATGAGTATCACATGGAAATTTCAAAATATTTAGAATGAGAATAAAAATGTCACATTATTAAACTTGAAGCTATGTTTACAAGAAATGTGTAGCTTTCAATGCATTAGAAAAGTCCAGAAATCAGTGAGCAAGGCATCTATTTCAAGTTCAGAAAAAGCATAGCAAACTAAATCAGAAGAATGAGCCTGAAAGAAAATAATTAGAATTACTGAAGGAGAGATAAAAGTGCCAAGGGGATTAAATAAATATGAAAGGTACAATTTCTAGAAAACAATAGAGCTATCATGGCTCTTCATGGTACCCTACCCTACACCTGTATATACTTTTTTCTCACTTTTCCCCACTTTTACTTGACCCAAAGTCACTCTGCAGAGCCTGTTTCTACCTTTAATAAATGCAAAACTGCCATCATTTATGCTCGTTTCCTTCAATTCTTTACTCAGGACAGAACCTAGAAATCACTTCCAGAGGGGGACGCTATTACCCCAAAACTTAGTATCACATCTGGCTTAGTTAGCCAAGAGAGCAGCATGTAATACATTTGATGGCCTGAGCAGAACAAAAAAACTACTAGTAAGCTTAACAAAAGTGACTGCTCCATGATGCACCACAGAAAACAGCATGAATGGCAATTCAAATTCCACTAACCTTGCCGATGGGTCATATCCTGTGACCACTGGAAAAGAATAAAGCCAGCCTCATTTGAACTAAAGAAAATGACCACCGAAAAGGAAAAAGCTACTCCTGCAAACCTCTAGGAGACCTACGATTTCTCTTCAAAAAGCAAGAGTCTACTGTGGCTCCAAGTACAGGCTTCTTCTTCAACCTTGGCAGTGAGCCACAACAGCCCTAGGTGGTTGGAGAGCACTCATCTCCGGTAGGTAGGGTTGACAGCCCTTTCCAGCAGGAAGTAGGTATGTAAAGACAGAGACCTCTACTCCCTCAGGAACCCATAAAAATGATGAGGATACTGTCTTTTAGGGAGAATTGAGGATACTGTCTTTTAGGGAGAATTGAAGCAGAAAGATAGGATTATGGCCAAACTGGTTGTTAGACTCTCAAGTCCCCACGTGTAGATTTCTCTTGAAAACTCAAACAGGGTTTTCACAGGATGACATGGACATGACGCCAGAGTGGAAAACAGGAGGGCCAGTCAGCATTATGCATTTGCTATTACACCTCTTCACAGTAGTCTACCCTACGCTCTAGTCTAGGATATATTTAAAACTTTTTGTCTTTTTTTTTTCAACTTTTACTTGGTCTAAACTCGCTCTGTGGAGCCTGTTTTTTCATACCTTTAATGTAAAACTTCAGCACTGCTTAAAAAATAATTAACAATAATGATATAGCAGAATATCTTCATGGCTTTGGATAAAGGGAAATTTTATAAACTTCAACATTAAAAAAACACTAATCACTAAGAAAAGGCTCTGCTGGAGAACTTTTTATCAAAAACACCATTAATAGTGAAGAGAGAAGCCAAGTTGGGCAAAAATATGTTAATTAATTACAGGGACTGTATGGGTTGCAAAACATAACTACTTACATAATCAAGGGAAAAAATCCCCAATACAAAAATTGGCAAGAAACTTTAAAAAAGCACTTTGCAAATGAATATATTTCATAGCCAACAACATAAAGTATTATGAGTACGCAATTAAAATCATAATAAAGACATACTACATTAACCTGACTTAAAACTTTAAGGACTAATAATAAATACTGGTGAAAATATGAAGCAACATGAATACGCTTCTGTGGAACAGTAAATTGATACATATGTTCTGGACAACTCTAGTTTTATACCTAGAAAACACACACATATTTTTTAACACAGCAACTCTACTCCTACATACGTGCCCAACCAAAATGTATGCACTGGTCAGTCAAGGCACATCTACACACTAGCCTTCCAGTTAAAACCTGGGAGTCACCCCGCATTATTTAAGTACCATACCACAGATAAATAAATCATGATACAGTCAGCTAACAGAACATTACATAGGAACAAAAATGAATCATAGTTACACACAATATGGAAGAATTCCACAAAACAGCGGATGAACAATGTTACACACAAATGAATATAGTGCCATTTATATGAAGCTTAGAGGCAAGCAAAACAAGTGTTGACATTTTGCAGGTGAAGCGACAAATTCTGGAAAGAGGCCCCAAGGATCTTGGGAATTCTGGCACCACTCCAATTTTGGCTCTGGGTAGTGGAGACTCAGCGGTCTGCTTTATGGCAACTAATGAGTTGTATATTTACATTTAGGGTTCATACTCTTCTTTGATAAGCAGTTAACAAAACTTCAAAATGCATGAAATATCTCTCTTGTGGGCATTTACCTAAAAAATCCAAGCCTCCCTCACATTATCAAAACTGTAATTTAAAATGAAATCTTGAGTTAATAGGATTCCCTATATAGCATAGGTAACTGAGAGGGAGAGATACTGTGCTTACTTAGTTCTGGGTATTTCTTTACATGAAATAGAAACATTCTCAGAATGATATCAAGAAAACATAAATGACACATTCCAAACTTGGAAATTAGCTCTAATCCCAAAATCAGTGAAACAAACACGTATGGTTTACCATTGTAATATAATCCTTTAATAATTTAGAACCATATACTTTTGTTTTCTGGTGATTGTCCAAATTCTTAAAGTAGTGGATGTGAAATTAGATTCATATGAAAAAATTATCTCATAGTATAATATTACAGGTTATCTAAGTTTTATTTTGTAAAGCATTAAAACTTCAAACCATCATCTAGAATGCAAAGGGCAACTACCTGAACTTACCAAATGGATTTTGAAATAGAGGCATAAGGGGCTGGGGATTTAGCTCAGCGCATAAGCGCCTGCCTGCCTTGCAAGTGTGCGGTCTGAGTTTGATCCCTGGTACCAATAAAAACGAAAAAGACAAAAAAAAAAAAAAAAGAAATAGAGGCATAGAACATTAATAGCCTTATTATACTGAGTCTAGAAATATTTCTAAGTGACTTTTGAAATCATTACCAGAACTTTAAAACTCAAATAAAATTTTCTGCCATAACAGAATTCTGTTTGCTTTAACAATCTTTTATTTTTAATTTTGTAGTTGAAAGCTAGTCAGTGATTTATTCAATGGCGTTATTTTTATTTAACCCTAATTGAAACAACAAAACCTCCTAATGTTTTAGAACCAAGTTTTAAAAAGAGTATTTATTACTCATGGTACATATCATACAAATGACATTATGTACACAGCTATTTTTTACAAACATTCCTGCAGGCTCTAAAAGCATATCTATTGTACTGTAGCACCATAAAAATTTTACAGAATGAATTCGATGGTGTAGTTTAAAGAAATGCTGACCAGGATTATCATTTTAAGCAAATTCTTTCCCACCAAAGTGTCACACTTTTGAAAATATAAACAGCTTATACCGTCCTCCTAACTTCATTCTTAATTTTGTAAGGTACACAGAGATTATTATTCTAATATTAAAACAAGAACAAGCCAGTGCATTTTAGAGAAAGACACAGGATCAGAAATCATTTACCTATAATTCTTTTATTTCTTTCTCCCCTACACCAAGCCAGTTCCTTCACGCCTAAAATACATTACAGTGGACTAGGAGACTGTAAATAGATGTTGATTTTTAATTATCTTATTAATCTTTATTCACTGTAAAATAATAACCACTAGTGTTAAGCACATGTTCTAAGATGGCATATAGGTACAGACTTTGGCATTTCACACAGTACAAATGTTTTAGAAATTTAATTAATATGATAAACTCACACTTTTAACTTTACATCAGTCTTAATATCCCAGAACTGCAGAGTTTGAATCTGGAGAAGCACACAATCATACCCATCACAATCACCTTCTTAAGGTTGTCTAGATACCATTTTGGACACACCGAGTTAACACACCGAAAACAACTCCACTACACTATATTTATAAGCAAACTAGAAAACTTTATTTGGAGTAGCAGCTAACGAATCAGCTTTTCATAGAGACTGAAAAAGGAGGTAAGGGAAAAATGAGCTAATAGCTACCCCTTAAGGAATAATTTTAATAGCTTAAAAAAAATCTTTCAGAGAATTTTACTGAAAAGGAGGCAATATCAACTCAACATTTGACAGAGATTAAAATAATTTTTAGTAAAACTCTGGCCTAAAACTAGGCCTTGGATTGCACACTTTCTAGTTATACATACAAATCTCCCAAGTATGTACAGTAGCTCCAAGTCAACCAAATATAAAATAAAGTCATATTACTTCACTTTTTTATGCTCTAGATAATGAAGAGAGTAATGAATGTTCTTGTGCTTCCTGCAATAAAAATGTCACTCACACCATAACAATTTTCAAAGTATCTTGACTTAATACCAGAGAACAGAATTGCAGTGCCTACATTTTAGGCAACTATGACAATAAAGTTATAAATTTTGTTTTAAAAAGACCATTGTTCTTTCCATCTTTTACTCTGAGATTGAATCCCTGTTATTAGTAATACTTAGACAAACTTGCCCTTTCAAAGATGCAAAAACTGAAGACAATAAATTGGTATCTAAACTCAAAGAATAGCTTTATCAATGAAATTGTATGTTGTATTCTTATACCTGGCAGCAGAGGTTATACAAAATGTATTAAGACTAATGCTATATAAAAGATTCTGTGTGTATACAAACACATTCTCCCAGTAAAAATCTATTTTTAAAAACTGACTCAATACCAAATGCTAAGTTTTAAATTCATCAACTTCTCTCTCTTTAAAGGAAAACTGTTACACAAACATTAGAAGTGCAATAAGTTAACAACAGAAAACCTGTTTAGATCAGCTAAAGCTTTTATATAAAAAATGTAAAAACTTACTGTTTAAAACAAAGTATCAAATAATGTAGAGCATTACAGCCCAAGGAAAGAAGCAGAAAAATCTCACAGAGTGTGTTTTCACGACTCTAAGCCTACTGTTGCTGTGCTTTATATGCCTTATCCTAAACGAAATATATAAATACAAACTCAGGTCAATAAACTATTAATTGATGTTTAGAAAAATATAGTTTGCCTTTTTGCTAAATATGTTAAGAAAAGTAGATGTAGCAAACATGCTACAGGGCTTGAACATTAAGATGTAAAATACAGATCTTACTGTGGCTGCAGAACATTAGTATTAAAAAGGAAAGATCTGACATACATGAAAACTTTCCTAGATAGTTTAAGGGTTTACTGACCAGGCCAGTAATGAAAAACAGTGATGCCTATAAAAGGCTACACTTTGCTGCATGAAATAGGGCAGAAAAATACTCTAATTTCAATAAGTTCACTACATTATACCACTAACTACTTCATTAAGACAATCAGTCTTTTAAGTGTGAAACTGGTAAAAATGCTACTTTCAACATTCAACTACACACACACACACAAAAAAAAAAAAAAAAAAAGAAAGAAAGAAAAGAAAAGAACAGAACAAAACCGAACCCAGAAACCTAGCTGATATTTAAAGGAGTAGCCATGTCTGACCTTTCTTTTATTGTTCATATTTAATTTTCCTTTTCAGAACCTACTAACACTATTTAGAATTTCTAAAGCATTTTGAAAGCTTTCTTATTCTAAATCATCTCTTAATACACTAAATACTAAATCATAGCAGAATATGCTAACAGAATCATTTAAAACACTGTTCTGACGTATATTGGAATCTGTTTCTTGGCTCTTTAAACTGGTGATGCTATTTTGCTGATTGAATAAATACTTGCTCTGTTTATGGTGCAACTGTAGACACACTAGTCATGAGGCAGTATATTATAGCTCTAAGCCATCTGCTTTCTCTGAATCATTAAAACACAAGAGAGGAGTTTTTATGTTGAACTTTCTAATATTCACAGTAAGAAATGGTTCAAAGTAGCTAATCAAATACTTAAGACCTAATTCAATGCCCTTACACAGAAGTACGACACCTCTGGTGAATTCAAAGGATTGCTCCAGGACAAGTTTCTCTTAATATACTTACCAAATCTAAATTAGCTCTACCCACAAAACACATTTCAAAATTAGTTTCATAAAAATAAAGTGTAATTTTCACAATCAGGTTATGACTCACTCCATATAAGTCCTAAAGCAAGTGGAAAAAAAAAGTTCATAAAATTCAGGTAAGTTCAAGGTTTAAAGCTTACAAGAAACAAAAATGGAAAATGAGAACTATACAGTGGACATCTTGGGTGCAACATGCAATGATATTATTACTACTGCTTTGTCAGCATGACAATTCCATTTCTATATTGAGAAAATATACATGCATAGTATGGTACCATCTGTCTAATAAATACATATACATTTCACGTAAATACAGTCTCATAGGAAACACTGACTTTACATTAAACTGTCATTTTGACAATTTTGCACTGAATAACAATAAATTACAACTCACTGTTGTGTGAATTGCTAAAAAAATTTACAGATGTTTACACAGAATTTTAGTAATATACAAAAATACATCAATAAAAATTAGATGAAAAATGTTTAAAGCAAAAACAAAAAGGCTTTATAACCAAGCGGCACGGACATTGGGAGGTTTAGGTCTCAGCAGCAGGTTGTTGGATGTGTCAAAACCTGATGGCTCAGTCTTACAACTGAGGCCACTGGTGGCACTGGATGTCCTGGAAGCTCCTCCTGAAAACATACAAAGAAGGGAGCATTGAATTATTCAAACTAAACACATGAATCTTCATCTGATAAGCTTCCTGCTATGGTCTGTGTTTGGATGTCCCGCTAAAGCCTCACATGGTCATGGTGGGCAGGCCTTTCTAAGGCACCTCAGTCTAGCATTTCTGATTGGTTCGTTGACTAACATTGGGATTGGTGGTGGGAGTGCTCACCTGTCCAGGGGTGGGTATCCGACATACAATATAAAGACAGGAAAGAGACATGCTTTTTCCATTTTGCCCCTTTTTCTCCCGTCACTCCTGGTATCTGCGACAGCCACCATGTGTAGTTGACCCTCAGCCATGCCACCCTGCTTTGGAGCCAATTGAGTATGGACTGAAACCTCCACGAACTGCGAGTTCAATAAGCCTTTCCTACCTTAATTTTGGGTGGTGGGTATTTTGTCTCAGCAACGAGAGAAAAGTAACCAACACACTTCTTCTTTTAGGTCTAGACTAGGTTATCATCACCATGTCACATATGTCCAATAGTCTAATGCAAAAATTCTCAAATCAGAAATACAATGAAATGTTTAAAAGGTGTGGCACTTAAAAGCTGCTCAAATAATTGAAGTGAAAAAAGAAAACCATTTTGCATAACCATTTATGTATTTATTTAATAAATAATTCATTACACTCAAGGCACAATACTAAATATGGGTTGCTGGAACGAGATCCTATCTTAGTCGCGCAGTATCTGTAAAATGAATAGATAGAATTACCAGTCATTTGAGTGTTTCTGAGACTCACCTGAACCCTGAGAAGTTGTGGCACTATAAGCAGTTCCAGCTCTTTAGTATGCCTTCTATTTTTATATATACACAGTTTAGAATGCACATGTGAAGTAATAGCATAAACTTCAAGTAAAGGAAATGTTTGGCTTGTAATCCCAGCTACTCAAGTGGCTGAGTCAAGAGGATCCCAAGTTTGAGACCAGCTTTGGCAACAAAGTAATATCCTATCCCCATTCTCCCCTCAAAAAAGAAAAGAAAACAGGGCTGAGTATGTAGCTCAGTGGTAGAGCACTTGTTTAACATGTGAGAGGTCATGGGATCGACCCCAAGTACTGCCAAAAAAATAAAAGTATCGGCCACGCATGGTGGTGCACACCTGTAATCCTAGCAGTGAGGCAGGAAGATCACTGTGAGTTCAAGGCCAGCCTAAACTGCATAGTGAAACCCTGTCTCAAGAGACAAAATATAAATAAAATCTTAAAAAATTAAAAAAATAAAAGTATCTGGTCTTTCTCGTTGTTACATACTATGGCACTATGTAATTCTTCTTCTGTATCCTCTGGGGGTACAGGACTGGCTAGAACTATAAATATCGAACATTAGGTTACCAGGAGTGGTGGCACATGCCTGTAATCCCAGCACTTAGGAGGCTGAGGCAGGAGGATCATTGCAAGTTTGAGACCAAGCATAGGTTACAAAGTGAGCTCAAGGCCAGTCTGAACTACACAGCGAGATCCTCTCTCAAAACAAAGAATAACAATGAAGAAATATTACATCTGATGATTATAGTTTGTTAATTTTGGGGCTAGTTACCTAGTAAGAGACAAAAACACATACTAGGGCTAAAAGATATCTGGCAGTAATTCTCAACTTTTTAGGGGAAATGTTTCAACAACTGTCAATAGCACGTTTCTTCTTCCTTCCTTTGTCTTTTGAGAAAGGGTTTCACTATGAAGTTTAGTCTAGCCCTGAACTCACATTGTAGCCCAGGCTGGGCTTGAACTCACAGCGATCTTCCTGCCTTGGCCTCCTGAGTGCTGGGGTAACAAGTATGCGCCACTGCGCCCAGCCCCATTTCTTTTTTTACTAAACATACTGAAATTAAACAGTGCCCCTCTAATATTACCTAGAAACTACCAATATTTTCAGTTATCTCTTGGATTCCTTCCTATGCTACCATTACATGTTTCATATGAAAATCTGATATTGAGAATATAAATAAAATGTGCCAGCAAAAAATAATACATGAATTTCTGAAGTTAACATTTTAAAACCAGTATCATAAGAACATAGGCTACATTAAAAAAAAAAAAAAAGGATGAAAGATATCAACAAGTAAAAAATAGTCTTGAATATGCTTACGTAATGGGCTGTACTGGCCAAGCATAGATCTCACTCTTCTGGAAGAAGGTGCTGGGTTGAGATAACCCATATTACGATGATAATCCATCAGCTGTTCTGAGCGTTTCATACCAACTGTGGGCTTCACAGCTTCAAGTCTTTTCAATAAAGCCTTCATTAAAACAATTTGAAAGTCAATGTGAGATAAACAGCAGTAGTTCATAAAAAGGCAAATATTTTCTAGAACCTGAAATTCACTAAAGTAGAAAAGATGTAAGTCACTCCTGATAAAGCACATGAAAGAAATGTTTAAACAAAATACAGAGAAAAATTAAAAGATTTTTGCTCTTCTATAGGCAATCAAACCATGATTCAACAATTCATTATAGGGATATCCTCTTTCACTACAGGTTCCAGTCATCGGAAAGGTCCTAGAGGTTGAAAAACAGTAAACCTGATTTTCTCATAGAAATGACAACATGGTAGTTATAATGTTGAATCCAGCATTAAACCTCTGAAATGAACGCAAACATACCTAAACTACAATTCTGCACACAGGACAACCTTTCTATCTTTTTTTCTTTCTTCCATGTACTGTACTAAAATATACTTAAAATTCACCAATTTAAGCCTTTTAAAGTGTATAAGAATGGCATTTAGTATATTCACAGTGTTGAGAACCATCAGCACCAACCATTTCCAAATTTTTCTCAAACTTCAATCTTTTGTTCTCATCTCCTGTCTTTCTATTCTGAGATGCTGACATCAGCATTATTAGTATTTCTGACCAATTCCAAAGAAGCGATATATGATGGCAGAATAAGATACTCAGGAGAAGAGCTGTTTAGAAAAGAAAGAGGAGAGAATATTTTAGAGATAAACTCAGACTTGGAGACAAATGGCAGAGGTACAGAACACGTGAAGCAGACAGACTGAGAAATCTTTATTACTGTCAATCTGGCTTCCTTTTTCTCAGCTTCTACCCATCAAAAGCTGGAACAGACTCAACTCCTTAGCGAAGTCTTACCCAGCTGGAGTTAGAGGTTCTCTTTGCTGAGCTGAAGAGTTACTTCTGAACACGGCTCCACTGACTGTAAAGTCTACCACCTTCCTGTAACATTATCTTTCTCTCTCTGTAGTCAAGGATGCTGTACAATGCAGGTGGTAAGAACTCTTAGGAGATTATCTTCCTACCTGTAGTTTTCAACAGTAGAAGAAATTTCCTATGTATGATATCACATCTTCACTGTACCGGGCAGAGTAACACTTGCTGCTTTCTCTGATTAGTCTATTTTTACTCATTGAGCATATGTGTATTGTAGTATAGAAATCTTTATAATTTCAGTTACCAACATTTTTTAGGGAGGGCTGACAGAAGTGACACTATTTTTATCAAACTCCTGATTTCATAAATTTAATTATTTGGCTAGGTATGCTTTTCTTTAATTTTAAGAAAACTATAATGCTTATTCATCAGATATAAACACAGTATAAAGAAGTATGATCAAATTCAATTTGAAATTTTCCAATAAAGTAAAAAGAAAACCTGTTCTGCAGTCTGATATGTCTATTATGCAGGACCGTGAGGAAATAAAGAGAAATGATTCAACTCAACTATCCAAGTCACATGGTGCTTTACCATGTGTCTGTCTGGGGAGGAATATGTGCTAGCGCTGGTCAGATCAACAGAGTGACTATCTTCTATTTTATAAAGAACTAGAGGAAAGGTGTTTGAAATCTCCTAAAATAATGAAATGAATTAAGGAATTAGAAATGCTAGTTAGCTTGATTTAATGTTTACTCATTGAAAACATGTATTGATTTCCTACATCCCCCTTTATCAAGTCCCCTTAGTATGTATAATTATTGTCTGTCAATAAAAGAACGATCAGGGTTTATATCCTGGCTCTGCCACTGAGTCAAATGCTTGATAAAAATATTAGCAATGAAATAAGCTCAAAGAACCAGGTTTAACTGAAAGAAAACAACTTTAAACCCAGACTGATGTATCCAGAAAAACTTTCATTCAAATTTAATGGAGAAACAAGATAGTTCCATGACAAAGAACTGAATAAATTCATGTCCACCAAACCAACCCTAGGAAGAGTATTGAAAGACATACTAGATAGAGATAAAAATGACCACAATCCCCAGAACAACAACAGAAAGAAACCACCAGATAAGACAAGCAGTTAAACAAGGGGGAAAAGCAGAAAGCAAACAACTGGAACATATCATGGAAAAGTCAAGCCAGTACATATCACTGATATCCATAAATGTAAATGGCCTCAATTCACCTATCAAAAGAAATAGGTTGACAGAATGGATCAAGAAAAATGATCCCACAATACACTGTATACAAGAAACACATCTGACCCAAAAGGAAACTCATAGATTAAAAGGCAAAAGATGGGAAAACAGTATTCCATGCAACAGGAACCCAGAAAAAAGCAGGGGTAACTATTCTATTTGCAGACAATGTGAATTTCAAACCTAAAATGATCAAAAGAGATAAAGAAGGTCACTACATACTCATAGTGGAAAAATTCAAGAGGAAGAACTAACAATTATAAATATATATGCACCAAATACAGGAGCACCCAACCATGTAAGACAAATACTAATGAACATGAAAAACCAAATACACAAGAACACAAATTATAACAGGGGACCTTAATACCCCATTGTCACGAAGACACAGATCAACTAGACGAAAAGTCAGCAAAGAAATAATAGAACTGAATCATACCTGTGAGAAATTTGACTTAGTAGATGTTTACAGAGTGTTCCACCAAACCACATCAGAATACATCAGAACCACATGGCACATTCTCCAAAACAGACCATATATTATCCCACAAAACATTCTTAAGTAAATGCAAAGATATTGAAATTATACCAAGCATAATATTTGACCATAGCACAGTGAAACTGGAAATGAATGGCAAAAGGGATTGCAAAACCCAAATACATGGAACTTAAATAACAACCTTCTGAACAACCAGTGGGCTACAGATGAAATTAAAGAAGAAATAAAGCAATACTTACAATTAAATGAAAATGTGGAAACAACATACTGTATAGTCTGTGAGATGCAATGAAAGTGGTTGTAAGGGAAATATATAGCAATAAATCATCATATCAAGAAAACAGAATGAGCACAAATAACTCAATGCTTCATCTCAAGCTTTTAGAAAAAGAGCAAGTTGAATCCAAAGCTCATAGAAGAAAGGAAATTGTAAAGATTACAGCAGAAATCAATGCAGTTGAAACTAAAAAAAATACAAATAATTAATGAATCAAAAAGATGGTTTTTGAGAGAAGAAACAAAATTGACAATCATCTAGCTAACCTTAACAGGAAAAAGAAAGAAAAAACCCAAAGTCATGCAATAAGGACTGAGGGACATTACTACAGATCCCATGGAAACTCAAAAAATCATGAATACCTATTTTGGAAATCTCTACTCACACAGAGTGGAACACACAGAGGAAATGAACATATTTCTAGAAACACATGACTTACCAAAGCTCAACCAAGAAGATATAGCCATTTTGAATAACCCAATATCAGCTCTTGAAATTGAAAATGTAATTAAAAACTTACCAACAAAGAAAAGCCCAGGTCCTGATGGATTCACGGCTGAATTCTACAAGAAATTTAGAGAAGATTTGATGCCAATACTCCTTAAACTCTTCAATGAAATTGACAAGGAAGCAATCTTCCCTAAATCATTTTTGGAGGCAAGTATTATACCAAAACCAGAGAAAGACCCAACCAAAAAGGAGAACTATAGGCCAAAGTCACTAATGAACACTGATGCAAAGATTCTTAATAAAATACTGACAAGTAGAATGTAGCAAATCATCAAAAAGATTATATATCACAACCAAGTGGGATTCATTCCAGGAATGCAGGGATGGTTTTAATATTCGCAAATCAATAAATGTAATATACCACATCAACAGAGCCAAAACCAAAAACCATATGGTCATCTCAATAGATGCGGAAAAAACTTTCAATAAAGTCTAATACATGTTCATGATAAAAACCTTCAGAAACTCAAAATACATGGTGTCTACTTCAATCTCATAAAGACCATCTATGACAAACCAACAGCCAACATTATACTAAATGGACAAAACCTGAAAGCTTCCACTCTAAAATCAGGAACAAGACAATGATGTCCACTATCACCTCTTCTATTCAATATAATTCTGGAAATACTAACCAGGGCAATCAGACAGAAAGAAATAAAAGAATAAAGATAGGAAAGGAAGAAGTTAAACTATCACTATTTGCAGATGACATGGTACTCTATATAGAAGACCAAAAAACTCCATTAAAAGACTACTAGAGGTAAAACAATGAAATACTTAGGAATCAACCTAAGAATGTAAAAGACCTATATGCTGAAAATTACGCTATGCTAAAAAAGGAGCTTGAAGAGGATATTAGAAAATGGAAGGATATTCCTTGCTCTTGGCTAGGAAGAACCAACATTGTGAAAATGGCCATACTCCCAAAACTGTTAAACAGAATTAACGCAATCCCAATCAAAATACCATTAACATACTTCACAGATCTAGAGAAAACACTCCTAAAATTCATTTGAAAACAGAAGAAACCTAGAATAGCAAAGGCAATTCTGGGCAACAAAGGCAAGGTAGAAAGCATCTCAATTCCTGACTTCAAACTATACTACAAAACCACAGTGATAAAATCAGCATGATACTGGCAAATAAATAGACCTGAGGATCAATGGAACAGATTAGAAGATGCAAACACAACTCAGCTACAAAGACACTCAGCTATCTGCTATTTGACAAAGGGGCTAAGCATGTTCACTGGAAGAATAGCCTCTTTCATAAATGGTATTGGAAAAATTGGCTCTCCACAAACTGAAGACTGAAACTAAACCCATGCCTATCATCACACACAAAACTAAAGTCTAAATGCATCAAAGATCTAAATATTAAAACAGAAACACTAAATCTACTGGAAGACAAGGTAGGTACAAGTCTTGGGAGACATAGGGGTAGGCAGAGAATTCAGGAACAAAACGCAAACTGCATGGGAAATACTTCAAAGAATCAACAACTGGGATCTCATATTGAAAAAACTTTGCACTTCAAAAGAAATCACCAACAGAGTGAAAAGAAAACCCACAGA